TGTTCTGAGTTCATGAGTTGAGATGAGAGTGAAGAGGTGGTTAGCAGTTATTGATCGAAGTGGTGGGATATGCAGGTATCTTATCCGGACATCCCTGAATTCTCGTTATAGTGCGTAGCATGGATTGAATACTTCTTGAAGGCATTCTCTCCTGAGACCTATTCGAGATGGTTCGAGGAACTCCAAATAGGCCTAACGTTCCTCGTTCCACGAATTTTGTTCAGGAAACAGGCCTCCAATCGGTCTAACGTTATACGTTCTCTCTGAAATGGTTTGTGATAGCAAGAATATGCCTGGGATTGGCCTAACATTACACGTCCTCTACCATAAATCTCGAATATCACGATTCGCCCTTACAGGCCTAATTGCCGTCGTAAGTCAGGAATTGAGTTTCTTTTGAAAAGAAAAAGGTAGGCCTTGGCATAACCTGAAGGCAGTCCTGTTGCTTACGCCTAGGTCTAACGTTAGTGAGTCCCGTAGAGAGACATGGGAGGGGTTGAATAAATGGAAAGCCATAAAAAATTTGTTTTCACATTACAGCATGTCCGTTTTGGGGGTACCATCGAATCAAGGAATTTCCCAAGTATACTTTTTTATACTTTTTTTTTTTTTTTTTTTTTTTTTTTTTTTTTTTTTTTTTTTTTTGTAGCTCAAATGTTGCGAAGGAACATTGCATTGACGTTGCAATTCGTTACTTATTCATTACATATAAGTAGCAAAAATGTTTCGGGATTTATGTTGCTGCAATGTTGATTAAAAACGTTGCTTCACAGGCACTTAATCTGGGCCTATTTTGGCATCACGGAAAAGCATAGGCTTCATTGGCCCTGAACTGGACCGATATTCGACCAATATTGTATTTTTTCATTCATCATTTGATACCGTATATTTTACCTCTTTACCCAGACAGTCCCATCAACAGAACGAAGTCTGTACTGGTATAGCCCCTACACATGCATAATAAATTATATGTATCATATACAGGCAGGAGACATAGGGTATTATTGGAGGTGATCTTCCCTGGATGTGCTAAATTTGGCACATTACAGGAAAAGGTCCAACCGCAATGTGTCCGAGTGTCCGCGACTTCAGTTCTTCTTTTCTTCATCGGGATGAGATTATGAGGTATTGAGATCATAGACTCTACCATCGTTTTTATTGTCCTGTAGGGTATAATCCACGAGTTCTTGGAAGGGCTTATTCTTTGGGAGCACGAGGATTTCTTAGCATGACCCCATGAATTTGTCTCGAATATGAGAATAACGAGTGATGAAGTGTCCGTGTTCATTGATTCCTATAATGAATGAATGCGAGACGTATGGCAAGGTGAGGACGTATGGTAAGGTTAAACATTCCTGTGAATGCAATTCCAGGGAAAGAGGGAAGGACACTTTTGTGTACAGTGAGAAAAGCGAGACCTACGCCTCCATCTCGTGACAAGGAGGACAACTTTTCGATTCCATAAAACTTTTTAGTCCATGTTGCATCGGAATGTCGTCGCTACGTTGTCGATGTCAAGAGTTACAACATTCTCTTAATGTTGATAGCTAATTTTGCAGTAACATTCGTTGAAGTGTCGCAGCAACATTGCAAGAGGAAACGTTGAAGCAATGTTTTATCGATGTTATACATCAACTTGCAACATAGAGCAACATAGGCAACATTATGGAAACGCTTCATCAGCATACTGTATTATAGGGGTTACTGGGGAATCTTTCCCTCGATTTTATAACAATTTGAAGAAATAATCGCGTTTTAAGGAAACTAAGCTAAATAACGTCAATGCCTCGCGCATTATTATTCGCGTTTATAACTTCCGTGTATGCTACCCCCTAACTCTTCTCTACAGGCACCGAACCCAGCAAACCAATCGTGATGGTTTGTCTGAAATTTTAAAGGAAATATTTGAACTATTACATCGGGAATCATCATTCGCATATCCTTCACGTTTCAGCTAAAATAAAGATATTTTCTCGAATCTGCAGGGTGGTCTACCCAGAGTAAATAAGTTATTTTTTCTAGAGGATATATATTTGCGCCTAAAGGAAAAGTCTAGGGAAATTTAATGTGCATATGCTTCTTAAGACGGAGTGTGGTAAGCCCAAGGCTTACCGAACAAAGGTTCAACATATGTCATCTGCGAAAGACAGCATTTGTTACCAAAAAATGCTATTCATCGTAAATGTGTCAACGCTTAATCATCCAAATCGCTGAATACAAAGCGCTGAAATTCCCTACACTGATTCATTAGCATCCAAGGATTCGCCCTTCTAATATCTGGCATCATTTTCCTTATTTATGCGAAAAATTCAATATTGCGAGGGGAGAAAAATGTATGACCAACTTCTTCTGATGGCATGGATCCATTGAATATACAGCGACTAAGAAAATAAAAATTTCCATGAACTCGTGGCCATTGGTACAGAGTTACTGGTAAATACATTATGAAATACTTAAACTGTTGCGTCGCCATGTGACACATACTCGAATGAATAAGGTTTCCGAGAGAGAGACGAGTTATGCGAGTGAATCGCCGTAGTTGCGATTCATCCTCACTAAGTGTTGGAACTATTCAAGGAAGATCCCGCACGAGCATTGTGGAGATTAAAAAAAAAGGTACTCATCTGCCTGTGGAGGTGAATTTTCGCCAGGAGCTTCTTAGTCAGTGGTATTTCCATCTTAAATACATATTTCATGCATTTTCCGTGATTTTTTGCCACTAAGGAATGTGAAATGTAAGCTTCTGTGTTTGTGCATGGCTGCATGTATAATACATAATTTACAATCGAATTTCCTTCCCACAGGTTTACCCGGTTTGTCTGAAACTAGTTACTGCACGAGATCTTCCTGATGAGTCTATTTTTATGAGAAAATATCTCATTTGGACAGAGTTAAATACATTATCCTGAAGTCCTAACCCATTTTGCAAAAGTCCTCAAAACAAGCTTTTACATTCTTGAATAGTGTGTTGATTAACCATCCACCTGTCAAACCTACTCTCTCACCTTGAGATTTCAAGGCAACAAATTGCTGAGTGCAACAAATTGTTGTCAAAATATAACAGTATAATTGCCTCTTTGATTCGCTGTCTCATGTTGTGCTTCTTGTAACTGCATTGAAAGCCAACATTCTCTTGATAAATTTGAGGAAGTTGATTGAAGGCGTGATGGCGTTTTTGCAGAGGTTCAGATCAGGGAAAAAATATGAATAAACATCTATGTTTGTAAATAATATTCACAAGGATCATACAGCCATATTTCCCAGGGGTCTATAATTAGGGTGCTTTTATCACTTCTCCGTCGGAATAAATTAAATCCGCTCAATCGGAATCGCCTATTTGTCTCGGATGCCCTGGTCTGAGGTTGTCCTCTACTCCAACCATCCTGATTATTTTTTATATTAGACAAAATATATGTATCCTTACGGTCACCATATAATTCTCGAACATCTCATTGCCTGTTTCGGTAGTCAGCTTTTCGACAGGCTCATCACGATGACTGGTTGGTGTGTAGTAGAGCTCATTCAATGAAAGTCCATGTAATTGCTCAAATCTACGAATGCAAGATGAACTACTAACACGGATACCCATGGCAATCCATAGCACATTAATTGGCATACTGGATACAGGCAGGGAATACAATTTTGTTTTTCTCTGGGTCAGAAGACCTGCTGACCAGGGAAAATAAGTTGAATAAAATAAAGCAGGTAAAATACGTTTCCCAGTTCTCTAATAAATTTTATTTAAAAAGTGCAAGTGATTCGATGTCCCTAATGAAGAGGGAAGAATCCTAATTAGAAAAACGTGATTCTCTCTACTCAGGTGGACATACATGTGGCTGAAGATTTTTCTCGAATCCGTCTACAAAGCGGGAAGACAGAGGTAGAGAATCGCCAGTGCTTGGGAGACACGGATGCCTCAGCCGTTAGCGTCAACGATGTTGCAGATAAGGAGGAAGATCTCCCGTTGGTTTCCCAGAAACTAAGACCAGAGACGAGAAAGGATGGAATGCAGCCGCGCCTGGCTGAGCGGATGAAGGCCTCTGCGAACCTGGTCCAGAAGGGAACAAAAGGAAATCTTGCAGTCTATGGACTGCGGGGAACCGCAATCTTGGTAGGTAGAAGGGTTGAAAAGGCAAAATACAACGTCGGAATTCTTTTTGGAACATGAGAGTGTGGGAAATATTGAGAACTTGTTCGAAGAATAAAGCCAAGCTCCATGGAGACCTCTCCAGGAAGCTATTCCAAATCACCTGGGAAATCTAATTTGCCTTCAATATATGAATGGATGGGAGAGAATACCACATTCCCACCGTCTCTGCCTAAAAATAGCATAAAAATAGTCCCAAAATAGCCCATATTTCCGACGATGATCATGAAAAAACAGAACCAGCTCAGAAGTCGCTGATTCAGTCTTCGTATGCATTAACGCATCATGTGTCACGCCTGGGTATTCTTGTTTCAATCCCAGCCAACCTCGAGTGTTACTCTCAAGTATGCACACTTCAAATTACTTGAAATAAAAGCTAGTAATCATCGCAAGTGAGATCGACATGTTCAAATCACTGTGGCTGATGTTGGAATAGGACCGAGATCGGTTTGGATGACATTGAGAGCATCAACTCCAAAGCTCCTTCCCTTTCAGGGCAGATTTAGGTGGGGGGGCAGCCTCGATTCTAAATATTCTTCTAGGATTCAGAGGTAAACACGAACGTTTTTTTACGACTCGGATGGGGGCGGAGATTAGATGCAAATGATAAAATGAATGGGGATCCCTTGAGGACGAACTCGTATAATCCAGTCACGCGGCTTCGAATCGCGCAGCGTCAAAACTCACAAGATATGGGACACTCTCGGCATTCCAGTCCGATAGAGGACCCAATTGTCTTGGAACTAGGAGGGGAGCTTTAAGTGCAACGCTAAAATATTGATATATGGTACATTCCACCGGCGGAAATTTGAAAATGTTTACATAGATATATGATGCAGTTCAGTTTAAACCAAATATTATAAATCCTTAAGCAATCCTCGAGAAGATCGAAAATCTTGCCACGCAGCTAATTTCATCATCGAAACCACACCCCGCAAATAAACCACGATTGAAGGAATCATGAATGGAAAAGTTAATTTCAAATTCGAAAAGCGACAAAAGAGGAAAAATAATTTACTTCAGAAATCAATATAATAAAAATGATCACAAAATCAGAAATATTTGCAAAATTAGTAGAAGAACGGATTGCAATTACAATTCTGAAAATCGAAATCAAAAACACAAAATTTGGTAGCAAAACAGATTCATGAAGGGAATTGGAATTTCAAATTACAGCACTTTCTTTGTAAACGACATTATCGGTTGAGACGCCATTATCAGGAAGGCGTTGCCTTTGCCACTCAACCACTAGGATTTTGAGGCAATCGGCAGACCTGACTCGAGAGCACAGAATATATAGCTGACCGTGAGAGAAAACGGACTCCGGCGCAAGAGACCAGCAATGTAAAACGTTTGTTCCTGAGCTTTGTCGAAGGCCATACCGTAAGCCAAAAGAAATGGGAATCTTTTTTTGGCACTTCTTGAAGGAAATACTCGGATCTGTCTCTGTGTTCAGTGACACTCGTGGTATGAAATGAAAGTTTCCACGCCGCGCACATCTCTCTGATGACGTTATCTTCCATATCTCATGCAATCAACCGAGTGCCATTGCAAATGCCGTTTTCAATAGACAGATTGCGAAGGAGCATGACGATGGCACCAACTTTAAGAGATCATGAGATCTCTTTATGAGGCGGTAAAATATTGGGGTTGAACGAATTGAGGAACTCGACAGGGAAGTTGACCTGTTATCGATCATCGTCTTCACACTGATCTGCCTTTACACTGTCAGAGCTCTTGTATTTTCTCGATGCACCTTCCAAACGGGACAGAACATGCTTCGTTCATGAAACAGGAATGCTCATTTTTCGGGCACGAATTGACGCGCTGACTCAGCAATTCTGCATCGCTAACGCGATGCTCTCGACCAAACACTTCCTTCACCAAGTTGTATGTTAGGCAAAGATCGGTGAGACGCACAGATATTTCTGATGTTCGGCTCATAGCCCTGGGAATTGCGTCATACCCGAGCTCTTGCAACCACTGTCAAACTCCACCTCATCGGCGTTTGCTCGCATATTTGTGGTTAAATGAAATGTATGAAAATGTTCCCAAAGCGTACTAATATTCATGCATTTAAGAAAAGTCTGGCCGCGCAATGTCCAACCATTCGATTGTTCTTGGTGCTGCTGAATGGATGTATAAGGGTAGCCCAAATGAAAGTGGGACTGCTGTCGGTTTGACAAATGGTTTAATGGTATCGGTGTGGTAGGTTTACAGGATAAAGAGTGATACATAAGGAACATAATGGCTATACATAGTTGCCTTGAAGGTTGATACAAGCGTCCCAGCGGTCCTCGAGATGATGAATACCCTGGGTGAAGAACCTCCGGGATTGGCTGTGGAACCATTCTTCAACGGCGACCCGGACCTCATTATTGTCTGCGAATTGCCGTCCTTGAAGAGCTTTCTTGACTGGACCAAAGACATGGTAGTCGCAAGGTGAGAGGTCAGGGCTATAAAGGGGGATGTTCGAGGACTTCCCATCGAAATCGCTGTAACAAATCTTTGCACGCAGTAGCCACATGAGGGCGGGCATTGTCATGCAACAGAATAACCCCTTTTGACAACATGCCACATCGACTATTCTTGATTGCTATTTTCAGTTTGTGTAAGGTGGCGCAGTATCTTGTTGCATTAACTGTAGTGCCTGTCTCCAGCCAATCCAATAGCAACGGGCCATCGGCGTCGAAGAAGCATGTAAGCATAACCTTTCCAGCTCTCATGGACGAACGAGCCTTCTTTTTGGGCGTGGGGACGAAGGGTGTCTCCATTCCATGCTCATTCGTTTTGTGGCGGGATCAAAGTGATGACACCACGTCTCATCTGCGGCAACAATCCGTGAAAGGAAGTGGTCTCCCCTTTCGTTGTAACGCAAAAGATGTTGCATGCAAACACCCATTCGATAGGTCTTCTGCTCCTCTGTCAGATGTTTGGGAACCCATTGCGCGCAAACTTTTCTGTATTCCAACCTTTCATGGAGAATTGTGTGAACACTTCCTTTGCTGATAGACAGTGCTGCCACTATCTCTCGAGTGGTGATTCGACGATTATTCCTCATCAGATTGTCCAATGCAGTAATTGTTTCCTGGGTGATGACCATGTGCGCCTGACATGGTCGAGGCTTGTCGTCCGTACTGGTTCGTCCTTTACGAAATTCGCTGCACCATCGGAACACTGAAGTGCGTGACAGACACTCAGTCCCATACACATTTTGCATACGACTATAAATCTCAACCGGACTCTCATCTTCAGCAGTTAAAAATTGTACGACTGCACGTTGACTGCGTTTGGAGGCATCCATGATACGAACAGTAGGCGGTGACCTTGCTTCCATGCTCCGCATGCGCAGCGTTCTGCATCTTCAAGCGACGGCGGACTCACGACAATCCCACTTTCATTTGGGCTACCCTTATA